ACAATAGTTAGGATCACGGCGGAATCTTTTTGGCCAGTTCTGATCGGTTTAACCGGAACTTTCTTGTTGGCGCTGTTTCAGAGACAATCTCATTTCGTCATTATTACACCTATATTCAAGTTTCAATATGAAATCTTTGAGTAACCGTAGATAGAATTCTCCATGGACAAGCTTTTTCTTCAAAAATAGTTAGAGTTGTTTTGGAAAGGGTTTCTGAGGAAACATTGCACAGTGAAAAACATGATACTTGATCGCAACTGCTTGATTTTTGCATTTGCAAGGGATTTGTAGTTACAAGAAATTCGCGAAAACTTCCAAGTTAGCATATAAATAAGAGCTGATTCCCTCGAAAGTTTCTTTGTCTAAAATAGCTATGTGAAAACCCAAATAGGGTCTTGGTCCTAAAAGCGATTTAGGATTGTCTTAGTCCTTGATAGGTGGCCCTCTAAGTCAGACATTCTCCTAGTTATGACAACCAGAAGAATTGTTTTTGGGACAGGCAATTAATACTATTCACATATCTAGATATAATTTCCAACTAAGTCTCCACATTTGTTTGGAAATAGTCCATTTGCGAGATATCCTGAATAGGCTAAAGCTAGTTATACCTTATAATTTGCAATGGTTGGGCAAGATAATCTTTTTCTAGTATTATGTTTCTGGTTTAAGAAATTTTTAATTTTATCCAATCGATCGTCACTTATACTTTATTTCCCTAATCTTAGGCTAAAATGTTACTGAGTATATTTATTTTTTCTGAATTTTATTATCTCTTATATAATGTTAGACTACTTCGACCCTCTAGTAGTATTCGTCTGCCACATCACTCTTAACCTCACTTTAAAACGATCATAAAATTGAGCATTCCCAAATTTCTGTTGTATGAAGTTTTTATAATTTATATAAAAAATTCTTTTTCCTTTATCTTTTTATTAGATCAATATCTCTTCAACCAATCCAGGTAATAATGCTGACCCTGTTTTAGTTAAAGAAGCGCCGACTTCCGACACACTTGATTTTAATTCACAATCTCTGAGCCTTTCTGGAACGGAGGCAGCTTTGCCAACTAGCATCGAACCCCATCTTTTGTGTACTGGTAAAGAGGATAATAAAATGGAAGAGCCTAGCGCTTTGGCATACGGAACTCTGGCCCGAGGAGTATGTGGTGAATCAAACTGGCCGGAAACCCGGAATCACTCTGCAACTTCATCTGGCCAATTTACTATGTCAACCCTTCCTACCATACGATCAACCACAAAACCTGTCGAATATTCAGCAAAATCTGATTGCCAAACAGATGCTCGGCCGATTAAACCCTCTGAGGTCTCTGCTGAGCTTGATGGAGGTGTAACTAGGAGGCCCACTAATCAAGCCAGCCTTCAATCGTGCTCGCCTAGATCACTTTGTCTCTCAAAGCTTATTCCATCTGCTTTGGGTGATAAGCAAATCTCAACTACTTCCAACCGACCACTGCTCCATACCAAACAAGCAACATACATTCCTGCTTCCTCTGAGTCATCAGGTTCCGGATCGCCTAATAGGCATAGAAAAAATCGCTCATCTCAGTTGAACATCGATTCAAGTCACCACACTCTTGTACAAAATGAATCCATAGCTGGAATGAAGAGCAAAGAGAACTGCTCTTTTCAGGTGCATAATTAACATTTTCTCTTACTCATTCATGAAGATTAAGATTAGTAATACCACATACATTTTTAACATTATATCCTGGCTCGACTTTCTTTCTGGGTTTAAAACTTTTTTTAAAAAGCCTTAGGGTAAGAATCTCACTTTCTTGTTATTCAGTATTGTCAGCTCTGGCTTGTGAATAGGGTTGGTTTAATCTCATTTTAGCAACTTGGTCGGGACGACAAATAGACCTTGTGAAAGATACCCAGTTTTGCGTCCTCTCCCTTAGTATTCATCATGATTTCCAGCATCTCACCGTTGACTTGGTATATTCACAACTTTTACTCCTAAATAAGTGTTTGCTTTTAATTATAGCTAAATTTTCTTCTATTTCACCTTTAATAAAGGATTGCGATTTACCCTGAAAAACTTTTCTACATGGGCTCACTTCATATATTCCCCTCTTCTTCAAT